GCGCTTAGCTCTTTATAGGACGTCACAAAATCTGTTAGAGTAACATTCTTCCTTCTTGAATGGAGGTATATTTTTGCGACTTTGAAGGTTGTTCTCTTCACTAGAATTTAATTAATGAGCTTGTGAACCAGTTTTTAATTCTTGCATTTTCAGGAACTGCATTGTCTCCTGATCGCGCAGTATTTTTTTCAGATTTTTCTGAGCTGTTTTTCCCTCCGAAAAACGACATAAGAAGTTCAAAATTTTAAAACACCGCGCTTTAGCGGCAATCCAAAATGGCTTCAAAATTACTCCCATACTTCTTGCCACACATTCGACCGTGCACCGTCAGCGGTACCTCTATGCGTTCAACTTCAAATATTGAGGTTAATCAAAACAAGCAACTGGCTGTTATCAATTACACCTACAGACAAAGATTTCACTCGTTTTCGGCATATTTTCTGAAATGTTATGCGTTCCACAAATATATCTAAACCTGCTTCACAAATTCCTCTACCTACAATCTCCTTGGAATGTTGGGAGATCCGGAAATATCTTCCAAAATGTGTTGGTTATATGTGTGTGTGTGTGCTTATCATTTATCTAAAGGTGTTAGTTTTTTAATTGATATTGCCGTGTTTTCGGTGTTAAGGTTAACATTGCACATGATTTTCACAGTATTTGTCTTAATCAAATTTTCCAACCGAGTAATTCTTTTAATGATAAATTTTCTGTGGTCATACACGCAAAAAACTTGTTTTGAATTCTTCGAAACATACATGGTTTTCTCATAAAAATGTTTTTGGAGCGCAATGAGAGTAATATCCAGTAACTAAGAATCACAAAAAATGTAGCAAGTGACATGAAAACCTGAGGTCTCTATTTCACAGCAGAGATATCTAGGTTCTAATCAAAATTTAATTCAAAAAAAATTTGTCGAGATTTTCCTTCAGTACACCCATAAAAACTCTTAAAATCAATTATGCAGGTGGACACACCAGACTCCATCTAACAAGTTCATGTAATTGCAATATTTTGAAGTGGAGGTCTCGAGTTGGCAGATTTTCTCACCTCATTTCATTGTCACCATTATCTTTTTTTAGTCTCAGTCATTACATTCAGTTGCTTTTCCATAGTGATATTCCACTGATAAAGAGCCTTACATTTTCATATCAATAAATAATTTGCAAAAAAGAGGGAAGAACAATTATCCGCAATTAGAAACCATTTAATTGAAATAAAAAAAGGAGCTTACAAAGTAGATAGCTACTCACCTTTCATCTTCAGGATTTTAAACAACATACATTTATTCAGAGTCAGAGTATGCATCTTCACAAAATTTGTGTGTAGTTTCATGTCGAAGAATGAAACTTTAAGCTGACTTTTAGGTAAAACGCTCAGCAAACTGAGACATTATTTACCAAAAAAAATCAGGCTCAAAGTGAATCGAAGTCTCTCGGAGGATGTCATCAATTACATAGAGAATAAATGAATGAGAAATGAAGTCTAAATCTCTGATGTTATAGCTTGCAATGAGACAAACTATCAAAGAATGGCACAAACTAGCAATTGACAATAAACCTGTTAATAATTATGGAACACTGAATAGTTTCATAAGTTAATGGTTGCAGATTAGAAAATTGTTGAACACAATAGTAAAGCTTGGGTGGCTTCCTTAAAGTTAACTTGTGAAACATGCAATAAACAGAGGATATTTCTATAAAGAGAGGCATTAAGGGAAGGAGATTCAATTACTGATTCTATTTATATCGCTGTAAAGGAGAAGTAAGAAGTTTTCTCCAAAATATTTATGTCCTGAAGACTTCATGAAGCTTCGACATGGTAAGTAACAGTGTCAGAATTTCAGAATATTAAGGAAACAATAGAAATTAAGAGCAAACGTTTTAATGTATGTACAAAAGTAAATGATGAAGAGCCAACTTCCCCGGAAGTAATGCCATCTGGCGGTCTCGCAGCTTTATTAAATTAAGATCTTCTTAACTTTACTATGTTACTATATCCTTTTGTACCCTGTTTCAACAAGTCTTTTAGAGGTGCGAATAACTTAATCAGTACTTATATATAAATATATTTAGAAAATATGTTTCCTGACCGCGTTAGTGATTTCATCTTTGTTCGAAGTGAATATTTTTAGACCAGTTTCGAAAGTCAGATGAAAGTAATGCTTAAGCACAGACTTGGAGCGTACAATGACCATGTTAAATTGAATCCTAATTGGTTAAAACCTAGGTTTTAACCAACTGTGCTGTAACCATGCCGCTGACAGCGCAAGGTTGAATGTGTGGCAAGAAGTCAGGGAGTAATGACGCTATATTGGATTGCCGCTAAGGCGCATGAAAATGGAGTGTTTTCAGTTTTGAACTTCAAAAGTCGTTTTTGGAGGAAAAAACAGCTCGAAAAAATCTGGAAAAAATACTGCGCGATCAGGAGACAATGTAGTTGTTGAAAATGCAAAAATGGACCACTAGACAAGGTACAAAATGAAGCATTCTGATACATATTTCTTGACCAAAATTTCACATAGAACACAATTCGAGCAACAGAAGTTACTGAAATTAACTCCTAACCAAGATATTTAATGTTTCTTGACGCATGAATTCAAACCTCCCACTCATGAAAACTCAATGGTCTGCGTGAGTCAAAACACTTGCTAAACGTTACTGTGGCAGTGTCTGAAATACGAAAATATAGTAGCCTCAATTATGACGCTTTGGCTCAGCTATAGCAAATACACTTTGAACGATTGAAATTGGGAAAGGAACAAAGCTCGATTAAGAAGCCTGCTGAAACCATTGTAACGCGCGATTTGACTCACGTAGGGTATTGAATTTCTTGTGACCCGGCAAATCAAATTTCCTGTAATCAATGTAAAATTAAAACGTTAATATCTTAGTTAGAAAATGATTTCAGTAATTTCTGATGCAAGAAATGTTTTCTACATGAAATTCTGATAAAATAACATGCATCGGAGTACTTAAATTCGTATTTCGCCTAGTGGTCCATTAGAAACAGGTTTACAAGCTCATTTAAAAACAGGATACAGTGGGTTGGTATCCTCTATTTTTACATACTTTCTAGAGTTGAATTTAGAAACGCTTTCCAGCCACATTGGAAACGAAAAGACAGATTTCGATGAAACGTTTCAATGAAAACAGTTATGCCTAATCAGCCTGACAGCAGCCTGATTGTTGAAATTTTTTGTTTGTTGGGACGACATAGGTTAAAAGGCGGATCCGTGATTGGTCAGCTATGTCTTATCCCTGCTTTGTCGTGCCTATGTCGGGTTGAATTCAAGACAAGCTAACGGTACCTTTTAACTTTCTGACAGTATGTCGTCCATTCCACCTGACAAAGGCTTGACGAAGCAGCGATAAGACATAGCCGACCAATCATGCTCCGCCTTCTAACCTATGTCGTCCCGACAAACAAAGAAATTCAACAATCAGGCTCCTGGTCGAAAAATCATCCCCCTTCAGACTTGAGATTTCCAGGATAAAGGGTGGTTTTAGAGGGTGGGTGATTACCAAGGGGCTACGTCTTCTGGCCGCTATGCGGACCAATTCCCTGAAGGCGCTCTGCGCCATCAAGGGGGTGGTTTGCGGCCTTATTTGGTAGCCGCAACATTGATAAAATTCATATTTTCACAATAAAATTTGTTTAAAAAATATCAGCAAAACTTTCATGACGGAAGGAGTAACAGCCTAATAGACTATGGATGCTGTCTAATTTTTTCTTTATTTTAATTTTGTCTCCCATTTATTCATTTATTTCATTATTCCTCTCGATTATTATCGTTCTGGCTTTCAGCTTCTTATCAATGTTGGTTTTATTTACCCCTAAAAAATTTCAATATGAGGTATATTTTACATTTTAGAACGACGAAATGATTTATGTTTTGGAAAAATAAAGATGAACAAATTTGAAGACAACAGGATGCGTTTTGCAATGATTGATTAATAAACCATTGCAGTAAAACAATGAAAGATAATTATCAGCTCATAGTTAAAAGGCCAGAGAGCCAGAATACGAACCCATGACCCAAGCTTTCTTACGGGAGTGTCTCTGACGCCTTAGACAACTCAGCCACAGCCCACCTTGACTTTTGCCAGGTGAATCTTGCGTTCAAAAAGTAGAGTTAATGCACAGGCTTCTTGGCCAATGTGCAACCTCCTGCGCATAGCGGCGGCAGTTGCGGAGCATTCTGTGAGTTTGTTCACACTTATAATGTGATTGTAAAAGAACCTGGGTCCTATTTCCAAACTCTGATTCAAGCGGGCTCATCTAGAGCTATGACCTGTTGATAACCGCAAAAATCATGGAAATCGGCCCAATAGACCGCTTAAACGAACTATGACAAAAAATACAAATTTACATTGTTTTATTGGGAGGATTCACAACTTTACCACGTTATATGCAAAAACATGGGTCATATTTTCAAATCCGAATGGAACGGGCTCATCTAGAGACAATTGCATGTCGACAGCCGTTTCAAAAATCATGAAAATCGGCCCAGTAGAGCGCTGGAACCAGATATACCAGATATACAAATTTAGGAGGTATCGGAGCTTGCAGTGTACATAGGTTGTTTTGAAGGCCACGACGATCGACGAGAAGACTGTTTTGAGGTGTCTCCAACTAAGGTCGGACGAGTTCGAAAGATCATCCCCCTTGGACTTGAGATTTCCAGGATAAGGGGTGGTTTTGGAGGGTAGGTGAATATAGGCTGTTTTGAAGGCCACGACGAGACGAGCGGTTTAAGGTTTCGCCGAGTTCGAAAAATCATCCACCAAAGACCTTGACGTTACTGAACTGAGGGATGGGCCGATTTTCACCAAAAATTAAACCTGATGGAGACCCTTTTAGTTTTCTTCTACCACACAGACTATTTTGCCCGAGTCTATTGTTTCTTCTTTCTTTACCTAAATCAGGAACCTACATACAATTGATTTAATCATGGTATTATGTTGAAACTTGGTGATCTGTTAAAAATAATTACCTACCTGGAGAAGAAGACTGGCTGCTTTGCAGTCATCTTTTTTTGCTGCTATGTGAAGGGCGGGTAGTCGAACTTTGCTTCTCAAGTCATTCTCAAGAAGCACAGCTACCACTTTGTCATGTCCTTGCTGCATGGCCACTGCCAATGGTGTGAATCCATCCTACACAGGAAATCAATAAAAGAATGATGAATGCATACTGATGTTGATATAAGTGCTTTCCAGATGACCAACACATGAATTTAGCGATATTTATCTGCTTGTGACCAAGGACTATGGTCGGATTTGAAGGAGGACTAAAGGGAAAATGGACCAGCAGAATGATTTAACGCTGAACCAGTATATCATAACAAATTAATATGACATGTTGGCTCAACATCATAGCAGTGTACCATGTATTAACATGCTGATAGGGAAAACCAGTATATTCATTTGGTATTCGTATGATATCCGTACAAGACTAGCATGATACATTGATACAGTGGTATCATAATGATACGCTGATAGGATAATGATACTCAGATATAATACTTAAACGCTGGTATCATACTGAGCCCCTGATATTATACTGATACAATTACATCATACTGATATACTAATATCAAACTAAAATTCTGATATCATCCAGATATGCTGATGCCATGTGGAAGAATTGGTCAGGCTGCAAACTATAAGAAATGACAAAATTATAATTACCCTGGGAACTAAACAGTACAGCAAATTCCAGAAGTAATAACTCCCTCCCCCTTCCCTGTGCTTTTCAATCTTATTCATCACCCCCAAAAACTAGTGACAACAAAATGAACCTTGAACAGGGTAAGAATTAGACATCTGAAAGGCATGCCTCCTTACCAACAATTTATGCAGAATATGATGAGCGTATCCATGATTCTAAAAGTTTACCCTTAAGTGAACGATACACATTTGTAGTTTATGTTATAAACATTACATTCAAATTTTCCACTCACGAAAAAACCAGACTCATCCTAGGTCAAATCAGCCATTGAGGAAAACTTACAAGTCAGGCAAATAAGTAATACCGCAGGCTCCATCCACCCCCTGGCCGCAAGCGGCCAACCGCCGGAGATTTGTCTCACAGCCAGCCTGATTTCTTCCACCTCTTCATTCCTCTTCCACCTCTCTTTTACCGCACATTTTTTCTTTTCGCCTTTTCTTCCCTTTTTTTATCCTCTAGCTCCTACTTTTCTTTCTATTCTTCTTCAACTTCTTGTTCTTCCTCATCTTTCCATTCCTATTTTTTCTTCTATATATTTCTCTTCTGCCTTCTCTCTTTCCCCTTCCTTGCGTTTTTCTTCCTCTTCTCCCTGATTGGACTCAATTATTTTCCTTTTCTCTACACTCTTCTTCCTGCTTTGACTCAATTATTTTCCTTTTCTCTACACTCGCTTCCTGCTTTGACTCAATTATTTTCCTTTCCTCTACACTCTTCTTCCTCTTTGTCTGTTTATCTTCCTTTTCTTCTGTTCCCTTTTGTTCTTTCCCATCTTCTATCCTCTTTTTTCCCTCTGCCTCATTCTCTTCTGCTTTTTTTTCTCCTTCCTTTTACTCCTTTGATTTTCTCTATGCAGATAGATGATTTTACGGTTGAACCAGAAATGGTAGTTCCGTATTGTAAAATTTAAACCAATTGTAGTGACAAATCACTTACGTACCGCATGTTTACATTAGTCTTTACGCCTGACTTAAAGCTTCTGGGAAAACTATGCCCCTTATTTTGATTGGTTCTTTTGGGTCTTCCGCTTCAATGACTTAAATATTGAGACCATTTAAAGAGCGGCTTTTAGAAAATGCTACATGCAGTTGCCCTTTCATCTCAGCCGAGGAAACCATCAGGACACTTTCGAACAATTTGTTATTGTTTTCACGGTGATATAATAAAACTTTCCCTTGGGGAGGGGAGGGGGGGTTGACGGCCCTCTTAAAAATTAAGGAATAAAAAAAGAAAGGGTAATTCAGCGCAAACTGATCAGCGCATCAGAGATGTGCCCAGTTAGTGCCGTGAATCAATTTGAGTGTCAGCGCAAACTTTTCAGGGCATCAAAGACTTGCCAAGTTCGTGCCGGTAGCAGCTCAAATAATTTAGTAAAATCAGGGCAGAGTGATGTAATACATGGGTTATGTTTCACACTCAAGATTTATTTATCAAAGTGAGGTACATAAGGTGTACACACTCGGCAGTGAATAAATGGGATTGCCGGGAAGACCAGAAGCCTCGATTTTGTGGGAAGCACTGTGCTTTCAATACCGGGACTAACAATAAGTCGGAGTCAGTAACTGGACAGGCCGTGAGCCTCAAATTCGTGTAAAGCGTAGGGGGCTCTGAAAACGCGACTAGTCTCAGCAATAAGAGCTGCTGCTGGGGAGACGGGGGGGGGAGGGGTCCTCCGTCCAGAGAGGGATGCGCCGGCAACTGTTGCGCTGGAGTGGGGATGATGCAACAAGGGATGACCCAGGCCACAGAGCCGTTCGGAGAAGGTGGGGGAAGGGGGTCTACTAAAAGGAGCACGGTCAAAATATAGTACCGCAGAGTGGTGAATATACATAAATGAACGTAAAATAATGAATTGCAATTTATAAAGGAGATGGTTAGTATCTGAGAACGAAATGTAGGAGAAAAGTGTAAAATCATCACAATTAAGTCGATTAAAATCCAACACATCGTAAAATATTACTTTTTCTTAAAATATAGGTTTACTTCAGAAAGGGGGCCGCCTCTACGCCCCTCTTCCCCTTCAAACGCGTCACAATTGCTAAGAATCATCAAATTTTTGGTCAACTCCAAAAGTCGGGTGCGGTCGCGCTAGGATGATTTCCACATAACGACATTTCGACCATCTGAAACTTCCTGGCTCTGCACAGGGTGCGAGTGAGAGGAAAACGACAATGACATGATAATGAGTAAAGGATTGACCGATTGGACTGCATTATCCTATGAGGAACTAATATATTAGGCTCATTGTCAGTTTAGAATCAATGTATGAGGTAATAATGTTCTACGGCAGACGGGTGGTACATCCACCTTCTATTCTTCTTACTGTCATCATTTCTCCTCGGTTTCTTCCTTGTCTTCTCCTCCCCTTTTTTGGACTACTTTCTTTCTTCTCTTCATATGTTCTCTTTTCTTTTCTTCTCTGTTGTTCTCTCCTACCTCTCTTTTACTTTGTGTTTTGACTGACAAAACTTATTGGTAGAATCTGGCCAACTATTTTACGGCTTACAATAAGAGGTTAGGGTGCAGGGGAGTGCTGCAGGGATGCCATATCCCTCACAAATGAAAAATTGACCACCGGGTTAGAGTAGGCCTTTGAATCGTGGATATCACTGGAAAAATGTTCCTGCCACCTGAATTGAGTACCTCTTAGTACAGTATGTACGGACTGATGGTAAGATATAATATAATTTAACACATTAGTAGTTCAATTTGGCAGCAGTGGCGGTTTCCATGCGCTTCGCGGATCCTAGAGGAACAAAGCAACTACCCTCTGAGGGTGTTCCGTTTTGAGGCGACCACGTTTAAACCTTGCTCCCTGGGCTTTTTCCCATTCCTTTTTGTCCACAAAAGATGATTCTGAAGTTTCAGCATATTAGCTGAAGTCTATATTTTTCCCGAAAGCTATTAAAATTTCGGAAGAAATTCAATTGGTTTAAATAGGAAGAAAATAGGTTGATTCGCGGAACTGCGTTTTCCGGCTATAAAATGCGAATATGATAGGAATTGTCTCATACTTGCATACTTATCCTCGCATTTGCGTGCTCAATTGACAACACTAAGATTTGAAAATTTTAACTGACCAAACTGTTTCAGTCGGTGATCAGAAATTCAAAAAAGGGGGTCGGAGGCGCACAAATTCATACTGAGGCTGGAAGAAATCTCAAAATTATAGCGTTACTATTGTGGTCCAAACAGCCAGCCCACAGTGGGAAAAACAGCCGATCTAGCGCCGAAAAAGTCGGAAATCAGCATCAATGAAAATGGCAAAAATTGGTATGTATGTGTTCCTTAGGATCTACTGATCAAGAATCAGCCAAGTTCTACTTCATAAGATCGATCTCATTTGCGATAATAATAAGAAATGCACCGGTTTGCGCGGAACTGGTTGAGGACCGCCTCAGAGTGGTTATTCAGTAGCCTCGTGTGTTCGTCTAAGTGTGTCATTAGTGACTTTAAATTTTTTTTCAACAAAGGCTTGCTCACCTAAACGTAAGGATACCAATTTTTTCTTTTTTACATACTTCTATGACTTACAGCGATTTTTGAAAGTTAGCCTCTGAAATAGTCAGAAATTCGAACTTCTAAAGACTGCATCTTACAATATCCAAGGAGATATTTATATCCAGTTACTCGTAATACTATCAAGATCACAAAAATCCTTGGTTGAAACCAGCCTTTTTCAGCCTTTCAGGGATACTTGATCAAAACTGAGTCGAAACATGTGCTCAGATTGATTGTAACTGTCGTTTTGCCTAGCAGCCCAGCGTTGAATCGCTGAATAGCATAGAGAGAGTGCGTTCGCAGAGCGCTGCGCGCGCAACTCCCCCAACGCACTTTTCTTTTACACCGCAATCACACGCTGAATGTGGGAGCTGAATGTGGCTTGAATGTGGAAGTCATCGGCCCGATGCCTGAATTTTGCGCGTCACGCGCAAAATTCAGCAACGATTCTCAGCAACCATCGGACCAATTTTGAATTTGTCTGAACTATTCGAGTAGATTTAATACACATCTGGATGAAAATAACTCGAATTTGCTAAATTTCAGCCGTTGGGTGATGACTGTTGACTTCCACATTCAGCTGCTAAATTCAGCGTCTGATTGCGGCATTACAGCTATTTCCGCAAATTAACAAGTCGTCATTGGTAGTCTAGCGGATAGCGGGCTTCGCTATTATTTTCTTATTCCGGGTTGGATCCTCGCCGAAACAGATGTTTTATATTTTATTCGTGCAAATTTTTACTTTTTAGTTGTCTCTCTCGTACTATATTTATTAACAGAATGCGCATGTACAATACTTCATATTTTTAAGATTTTGAGGAGCTGGAAAGTTATGGAAAATTATTGAGCAAGCAAACCATTCCAAAAAAAAGGGAAATAAGACTAGTACCCTTCATAGTGTAGAAAGTAACCAGCAATGACATAAAAAGCAAGAAATATTTTATTTTAAATCTACTGACCGATCAGGAACCACAAACCAAAGCACAGTCTCCAGGAATGTGAATTACAGCTTATTTGCCGACTACATTTAGCTCGATACCTCTGAAATTTACGAAAAATCGGCGCATTTTGCTTTCTTTGATGCTTAGATAGATATCGACGGTGAAAGTCGGCAATCACATAACTCGGTTTGCGACGTTGCAGACTTCCTGTCATACTTGATTTTTTAAACGGAAAACTACTCAACGGTAATTCTTTAAAACTTCCGTGATTTTTCTTCTATGTGCGAGGAAAATTCTGCAAAAACTTCAAGGAATCATGTCCATTTGTTCTCCTTCAAAAAAATAACATAGTTGCGGAGATTTTCAGACACCGCAAACGAGTTATGTGATTGCCGACTTGCACCGTCGATATATAGGACCAACTAAGTGTGAATTCCAATGGGAAAGTGAACACTCCGGGCGTCAAGACTTTTTCTGCGCTAGATTGGCTGTTTTTCCCACTGTGCAGCCCTAACAATTTTAGCCTTAAGGATTTTAATATTTAGTAGATCGTTTGGACCTCAGTTTCGCATGTATTCCCATCCTGATTTCCCTCCTCTGATACAACGCTTCTTCTATTTTGTAAAAAAAAAAAAAAAAAAAAAAAAAAAAAAAAAAAAAAAATACAGCAAAGTAAAATTCTTTTGGTTTAAAATCGAAATCAATTTAGTTTTGTCTTACAATTAGGACGATAGCCTACAGATTGGTAAGCAAACAATAAACTGATCAACAACGACTAGCTGACTCTCCACAACCTTAAAGTTGGATCATCATTTTCATCCTCAGTTTACAACAACCACCTGTTTCAACCAAAAGAATCCCTCTATATTCCTATTGTCTTCTTTGTCCATCACTCTGCCCATCAATTTCAATAAACTGCCCCCAGTGTGGGATTGATATGAACTAATCGCATCGAGATTCAAGCTTATTGAAAATTAGGGGTCAAGGATCCTGGGTCCTAACCTCAGTGGCGAGTGTTTGATTAGCCCCTTTGCTCAACAAATACTTGACAACGGCGTCATGATTTTCTTGTGCGGCCATGTACAGCGGCGTGAAACCGTTGAGTGACTGGACGTTGATCGTTGCTCCATGTTCTACCAACACGCGGGCCACCTCTTCCTGCCCGGCTGTAACAAAAAAACATGGACACATACTTACAGAAAGAGAAAAAAAGATAGAAGGCTACGATCTTGCGGAGAATAAAAAAAATCTCATGGCGAAAAGAGCGGGGAATATGCTTCAATGGAAGCATATTTCTTGATGAGCGGGCAAGGTGACATCTGCTAAAATTTCGTATTGGATTTCCCTGATACTTTCCTGATTTTTCCTGATATTGCGTGCCATCCTATAAAACCGCATTTGAAAGAAACTGGATTCGCGGGTAATTTTTAAACTTTTCTTTGCCGCAATTGGTCCGAGTTCTCTGGATCTGGGAAGTTGCAGGAATCAAAATCTGCATTGGTGCGCTCTCTCGCGGCTGACGCCGAAACCCTAATTGTCACTTTCACTTCTCTCCACCAGTAGCGCTCTACTTTCGTTCCGGTTCTCTAATTCGTTCAGAGCTTCCCAGTTCCTGGACTCAACTCCGGGAGCCATTTTGCCTGTTTTTCCTGTTCGGATCGAGTGCAAAGTCGGGGTGCGAGTGCACCTTTTTCGCGTTGGAGGGCTGGTTATTTTTTGTCTCAACTCCTAGTCGGCCGGCCAAGAGTCTTGTTTATTAAGTTTACATGTATCTGTCTCTTAAATCGTTGCCTTTTTAACACCATTCGAACAAACTCGTAGTAACCTGAAAGCCTGACACGCCTGAGAATGGCCGCCTGCAGCAGCGGGTTGCAACCGCCCTTTTAAACCCCATTTTCGGTAAGTTTGCCATGTGAACTTAGACTTTATCTTGGGCTTTCAGCCCTTCTGGCCTCGTGGCAATTCTGCCCAAGTCATTCCTAAGTCGAGGGTCCTGTGCAAGCTAGTTACGATTAACCTAGAGAAATCTCACTTTAGCATTGCTTTTTGCATTCTTGTCCATTTGCAGTTTTCCTCTTATACTCGAGTAGGCCTTGACCTTGGCCAAGTGCCCAGACTATTTGGGGGGGGGGGGGGGGGCGGG